TTTCATATTTGCTAGGGGACTCATTTCAGCTGTGTTTAGTCATGGTATGAATTTGAAGGGGCTGCAAAAATTGGGTGCTTTTTTGCCTTAAAACCATACTTTTATCAGTCCAGGTACTTAAAAGGTTATTCTTCATCATACAATTAATTGGTTTCAAAATCATTTAATAAATTTAGTTGCACTTTCCTCCTAGAAAAATATCACATTTTTTTGTTTCTCTTATTTGTTTCATTGTTTCTTTAAACAGATAACCAGTTTGCTCTGTCCAAAATTAGAAAAACAATGGAAGAGAATGAACTATGGTGCTGGGAGTTATAGCCTAGGCTCTGAATTCTAAAGACACATTCCTATTTAAAACAACATATGTAGTTTTCTTGTCCAAACTAGTATTGAAAGATTAATGTGGCTGGTTTGTATGAAATCTTTTCAGCTTTGCTAATACTTTCCCTTATCACTTCTCTCTTCTCACCATGACAGAGTTTCTGATGGAAATACTGGTATAGAATATGCATTTTGTCCTGCTATTCAGTGTTCTTCTTCCCTTCTTTGGGAGAAAAGGTGAAAGTGAATTGTAGGAGAGGAAGCCTGAATATGAACAGGATTTTTTTTTTTTTAATTTAAGAAACATCTGTATTTTTCCTTAGCTTTTTCCCCCCTTGAATGTTATGATATTTGTTATTTTATAAATTATTATTTTACTTATAATTACAAAAAATTATTATTTTGTCATTTACACTGCAGTAGTTGACAGTTTTGTCCGTTACTGAATACTTTGGAAATGTCAGTGTCATTTAAAAACAAACATTTTTTTCCTAACTTGGATTTGCAGATGGGAAAAAGCAAGCACCAAAAAAGTGTAAGCCGATGCAATCTGTGTAGTTTTGAGGAGTATAAATTGTTCACAAATTTCAAATGAACTTTCTAGCTCTGAAGCTTCGGGGATGATTCCTCTATGAACTGTTGCACTGTTGGGTGATCTGAGCAGATATGCAGCTAAAGTAACACTCATTATCCTGAAACAGGCAAACTGGACAACACAAGGTAAATATGACAACATGTAACTGAGGTGATGTCGTCTGGTGTGCTGGGGCTGGGGAGAGGAGCTTGTTTCAGCTGCTTGACATGCAAAATTCTCTTTATATAAATTCTTAGGGACTTGGGAAACTTGCAAACACCATTAAAAGGCTCTCTCTTAATTCATGATATTATACCCTTTGAGCAGGCAGTAAACAAAATCTGTTAATTAGCCGGCTCTAAATGTCTGAATGGCTTCTTTTCAATGTTTGAGTATTTCTTTCACATGGAAATCCTGAAATTTGAGCCTAGAAATGCACTCCTTTGCCAACTGGCTAAATACTTGGGTTTTTTCTCAAACGCAAGGACATGGTCTACTGCTAGTACTACACACTGTTATGAAACCTGTAAAAGACCACTCCCTCTAGCTATAAATTGAACATTGCCTTCCAATGTACAAGCAAGACTCATTGCTTCAACATTAGTAATCTTAACAGAATAGGCAGGGGTAATCTTAACAACTGATGACTCTAATAATATTTTGAGAAGACATGGACGAGAATATATTGAAAAAAAAAAAAGCCTTTGAAATGTAGAGGGAATCCTGAATGCTACAAAATGTGTAATAAGAAAATGGTGGAAGATGGATAGCTGTCACAATCTTGCACTGAAATTAGCAAAAACTGGTGAGTTACACAAGTTAACATAAAGGCATATGAGAGCCTAAAAGTGACCAATCAAACGCCATAGGTTTGCAAGACTGAGCCCCAAACCTCATTTATGCAAGAACACACGGATAAATCTAGCATGGAAGTATTTGCTGAAAGCGTCTTTGAAACAAAATGTCAAGCTCCAGGTGAAACATCTGTGGAATGTTTTATGGAAAAGAATTACTAGACTTCTGAAATACACGGATTTCACTTTGGGCATCATCTTAGCTTCTCACCTTAATGAAACATAGCGAAACACGAGCTCAACACAGACTGTAAAGCAGTTCACAAAAGAGGCATAGCTTTTAAGGCCAGAAGGACCACTGAAGAATCCAGTATGACCTTAGTGTAAACCAGACCAAAGGACTTAATCCAAATACTCGGTGTTTTAGTCCAGTAATTTAGTTAGACAAAGCACACATGCAGGCAAACAAGTTCCCACGTGGGAGGTGAAAACTGAAATTGCAGGTACTCTGCCTTAACTGCCTGCATACACACATACCTTCTAGAACCTCTCAAGATACAGGAGAAAGTGTCGATGAAAAAAATAACGGCACATCATCCCAGGATGTGAGAGCTGTGAAAAAGTGAAGGCTTTCCAGAGATCTGTATTTGTATTCCATTGTAGCCACTGCTATTTCTTTCCTAACAAGAAAAGGCAGAAGATGCAGAGACGCAGTCTCTCAAGATGACAGAACCCTTTTAACACACTTCTCTCCTTCTCTTCCTTTTCCTTAGCTTCTCCTTTATCTGGTAAAGCAGAAACTAATAATCTGAAATCCAGTTCCAGCTCTTCTCTTCCTTGTCAGTGGATGTAGACAAAGCTTGTCTTGTTTTCTTTCAGAAACATGAACTAATTAGAATGATTTTTCTAATTTCAGTGACTTTTCAAAAACAAAAGGCTTTTCTCTCAAATTCTCCTGTTTATTTGATGTACCAACAAATTCCTCATCTTATTCAACAGGGAAGAAATGTAAGCTACTGTGCTACAGGAAACTAACAGCAGCAGTGAGTGCTTTTCTCAGCTACCACATCAGAAGAGTGCAAGATGCTGCCACTTGCAATTTACAAGACAGAAATACGTTTCAGAGAAAGACTGCTGTCTTCTCAGCTGTTACACCCTCGTTGTCATTGACAGCCTTCAGAAGACCCAAGAATCGAAGGGTTAACTAAATAAACACATGCAAACTTGCCCATGGCTCCTAGAGAAATGTCCAATGCCTTACCAATTTTAAGGTGCACCATTCAAGGCAGTGTTTCACTGTTGCTTTTTGGAGCTTGGTAAGAAATGGTCAACAGCTGCAAGGCAACCTGTTACTTTTGTTCAGTGCCGAGAAATGCCACTCAGACTTGGAAGGCATTGAAGATGACATCATACATTCGAATTAGATTACAACACCTCTTTTGTTAGGTGTGAATGAGGCATTAGCGATCTGGAAATGTAGATAAAAAGCACCAGGAAATTCTAAATGTTAAGTGCTGCCACCCTTGAATAAGAGTTAAAGCTGCTGACAAAGTATTTGGGAAAAGGCAATCTTTTTATTATGTCAGTGTTTTTAATCACAGTTCCTATAGTCAGGCACTTGGATTAGCTGGTCCTCATAGGTCCCTTCCGACCAAAATATTATCTCCTCTTACTCTATTTCTATTCTATTTGCATTCTACGTTGTTAGAATGATAAATCTTTCTTTTGGATCTTCTACAGACCATACATTTTGCATGGAAGAAGTTTTGCGGTAAATAATAATTTATTTTTCAGGTATCGACAGGTAAAGGTAGTTTCCAGCTTTTAACTCAGTAATGTATGCATTTTTGATTAAGGTTTCAGGGTTGATTAGAGAAATTAAGATCTCTTGATCTCAGGAGGTTCGATGGCACATGCTCTGAGGTATTTGTAGTGAGGTTTGTGCACAGAGAGGCAGTGCTGTTGACAGAAGAGGAATTTGTCTTTTGGAGATTAAGCAAGGCCAAGGCTTGGACAAAAGAATATAGAGATTGCATATAAGGTTTTTTTTTTCCTCCTGTGATTAAAAACTAGATATAGCAGCATGATTCCTCAAATAGCCTTAAAATGCTATTTGCTCAGAAGGTTTACTTTACAAATACATCCTAGTTTACTGCTCACTCCTGGGTCACTGAGAGAACTTCAAAGACCTGAAGGGTCTTCCCTGCATCACTCATTCGTGTGCACCACTCAGTCTTCTTCCTGGCAAGACATCGGATGAAAGACCGGAGAAGGCTCAAAGAGATGCACGCTGTAACCCTTCAGGCATGCAAATGTAAGGGGGTGATTTAAGAGCTGCTGTATGCAGACAGCTCTGCTGGCTCTAGGTGCGACAGCCTTTTGCTGTAACTCCAGATCTTCTCTGAGGGAACGCGGCCTCTGGAGGAGGTACGCACCCAGCCCTGCTCTCGGCTCCTTCCTTCTGATGTACTGAAGACCCTTGTGAGACACAGAACCTGAAGCCCAGATTGCTGCTGCTGGTTAAACTTTACTGATGTGTTTGTCTAACGAGGACGAAAATAGAGTTTATGACAAAGTTGTAACCATAAATGTAAATACAGTTCACACACGCCCTGTCCTTTGGTTTCTCTGGCACCTCAGACAAGCACTTGGGACTCAGATGAGTGTGGAGGGACGTCTCCCTGCACATGAAGCACCGCTCTGTTCTCTGCTGGCTCCTGAAGCACAAGAGCTGGGGTACCATTAATGCACAGCCCCTGAGGCAGTGTCCTGGTTCCTCCTGCAGGACCCGCCTACTTTCACAGCCTCACGACTGTCGGCCAGCAATTCCCTCTCCGAGGAAGGGCGGCAGGGCACAGCCCTCCTGCGGGGTGTCCCGCTGGCCGCCTACGCCCGATGGTCCCCAAAATCCACAGGAAGGGACAGGGACCCTCGTGGCCTCTCGCTCTCCCTGCCCCGGGGCTGCAGCCGGGTTTAACCCTTCCCGTACACCACGGCCACCTGAGCGCTGCTCGTCCCTTCTGGTGCCCGGGAGGAGGAGGTAGAGGAGAATGGGGATGCCTGGAGCCCCCCCGGTACCTCAGCGGCGGAGGGCGGTGGTCGCCGCGCCTCCGCCTCTCTCCGGCTCGGGCTGCCCGGCTACCACGGCCGGGGCGGGCACCCCGCTGGCTGCGCCGCGGGCAGCGCAGATCCGAGCGGCCGCCGCCGCCCGCGAACGCTGGAGGGGGCTCTCGGCCGCCTCCTCCCGCCGGCGGCTCCCCCTCCGGGAGGGGGCAGGGTTAGGGGAGGGAGGTGCAGCCGCGGCAGAGCGGCGGCGAGCTGCGTCCAGTTCCCGCTCCCCCGGTCCGCGGGCGGCAGCAAGACCGGCCCCTCCGCCGCCGCCTGCCTCCCTTCTCCTCCTCGCCGGCCCGGTGGGCTCCCCCCGCTGCCAAGCCGGACATGGCGACCCTGCTCCTGCGAGCCCCTCGCTGTCCTCCTCTCCCCGCCGCCGCCGCTCTTGCCGCCGCCTTCTCCTCCTCCTCCCCGCGGAGCTTTTAATGGCTCGGACCTCCGGCGGCCAAGCGCGACTGCCCCTGCACCAGCCGCAGCGAGGAGAGCCGGCGGGAGCCCGCGCCGCCCCAGCCCCGCGCACGGTAAGGGCGGCACGGCAAACAATGGGGCCGGGCGGGAGCGGCAGCGGGTGGCGCCCGCCCAGCCGGGCACCGCGGCCGGGGCTGGGGGCGAGCGGCGGGA